CTACACACACTGCACCAGTCTCTCACACTACACACACTGCACCAGTCTCTCACACTACACACAGTGCACCAGTCTCTCACACTACACATACTGCACCAGTCTCTCACACTACACACACTAACAGTCTCTCACACATACACACAGTGCACCAGTCTCTCACACTACACATACTGCACCAGTCTCTCACACTACACACCACTGCACCAGTCTCTCACACTACACACACTGCACCAGTCTCTCACACTACACATACTGCACCAGTCTCTCACACTACACATACTGCACCAGTCTCTCACACTACACACACTGCACCAGTCTCTCACACTACACACACTGCACCAGTCTCTCACACTACACACACTGCACCAGTCTCTCACACTACACATACTGCACCAGTCTCTCACACTACACATACTGCACCAGTCTCTCACACTACACACACTGCACCAGTCTCTCACACTACACACACTGCACCAGTCTCTCACACTACACATACTGCACCAGTCTCTCACACTACACACACTGCACCAGTCTCTCACACTACACATACTGCACCAGTCTCTCACACTACACACACTAACAGTCTCTCACACTACACACACTAACAGTCTCTCACACTACACACACTAACAGTCTCTCACACTACACACAGTGCACCAGTCTCTCACACTACACATACTGCACCAGTCTCTCACACTACACACACTGCACAGTCTCTCACACTACACACACTGCACCAGTCTCTCACACTACACACACTGCACAGTCTCTCACACTACACATACTGCACCAGTCTCTCACACTACACACAGTGCACCAGTCTCTCACACTACACACACTGCACCAGTCTCTCACACTACACACACTGCACCAGTCTCTCACACTACACACACTGCACCAGTCTCTCACACTAACACACACTGCACCAGTCTCTCACACTACACACAGTGCACCATCTCTCACACTACACATACTGCACCAGTCTCTCACACTACACACACTGCACAGTCTCTCACACTACACACACTGCACCAGTCTCTCACACTACCACACACTGCACCAGTCTCTCACACTACACATACTGCACCAGTCTCTCACACTACACATACTGCACCAGTCTCTCACACTACACACACTGCACCAGTCTCTCACACTACACACACTGCACCAGTCTCTCACACTACACACACTGTAACAGTCTCTCACACTACACACACTGCACCAGTCTCTCACACTACACACACTGCACCAGTCTCTCACACTACACATACTGCACCAGTCTCTCACACTACACACACTAACAGTCTCTCACACTACACACAGTGCACCAGTCTCTCACACTACACATACTGAAACCAGTCTCTCACACTACACACACTAACAGTCTCTCACACTACACACACTAACAGTCTCTCACACTACACACAGTGCACCAGTCTCTCACACTACACACAGTGCACCAGTCTCTCACACTACACACACTGCACCAGTCTCTCACACTACACACACTGCACCAGTCTCTCACACTACACACACTGTAACAGTCTCTCACACTACACACACTAACAGTCTCTCCACTACACACAGTGCCCAGTCTCTCACTCTACACACAGTGCACCAGTCTTTCACACTACACACACTGTAACAGTCTCTCACACTACACACACTAACAGTCTCTCACACTACACACACTGTAACAGTCTCTCACACTACACACACTAACAGTCTCTCACACTACACACACTAACAGTCTCTCACACTACACACACTAACAGTCTCTCACACTACACACACTGTAACAGTCTCTCACTCTACACACACTGTAACAGTCTCTCACACTACACACACTAACAGTCTCTCACACTACACACACTGTAACAGTCTCTCACACTACACACACTGTAACAGTCTCTCACACTACACACACTAACAGTCTCTCACACTACACACACTGTAACAGTCTCTCACACTACACACACTGTAACAGTCTCTCACACTACACACACTAACAGTCTCTCACACTACACACACTGTAACAGTCTCTCACACTACACACACTGTAACAGTCTCTCACACTACACACACTGTAACAGTCTCTCACACTACACACACTAACAGTCTCTCACACTACACACACTGTAACAGTCTCTCACACTACACACACTGTAACAGTCTCTCACACTAAACACACTGCACCAGTCTCACACTACACACACTGTAACAGTCTCTCACACTAAACACTGCACCAGTCTCTCACACTACACACACTGTAACAGTCTCTCACACTACACACACTAACAGTCTCTCACACTACACACACTAACAGTCTCTCACACTACACATACTGCACCAGTCTCTCACACTAAACACACTGCACCAGTCTCTCACACTACACACACTGTAACAGTCTCTCACACTACACACACTGTAACAGTCTCTCACACTACACACACTAACAGTCTCTCACACTGCACACACTAACAGTCTCTCACACTAAACACACTGCACCAGTCTCTCACACTAAACACACTGCACCAGTCTCTCACACTACACACACTAACAGTCTCTCACACTACACACACTAACAGTCTCTCACACTACACACACTAACAGTCTCTCACACTACACACAGTGCACCAGTCTCTCACACTACACACACTGCACCAGTCTTGCACTACACACTAGAAAAGTACCAGTGAAACATACACAGGCTTCACAAAAGCTTCGACAAGAGTAACTATTGTGTAACAGCTCACGAAATTTTGGCAAAATAATTAACAGGAAAATTGAGCACACGAAGCTTTACCTTGTTAACAATGAGAGTCACAGAGTAACAATCAACAAGGTTAAACCAGAAGCCTTCGTGTACAGCTCTTCTTTATTGAACTCTGCTAGCCTCACAGTAACGTTATCATTCTGGCATAATAATATCATTCTTATTATTATTACTATTGTTATTATTATTTTAATACTCATATTTGACATAATTATTGTGTTAGTCGGGAAGCAAGGCTGCTGCCAACTCTTCTTTAGACTTTCTTGCCAAAGTAATTTATGCAAAAATGTTAGCAGACGTAAATCACTGACACTACACACCAACACTAGACACTACTTTCTTAGACTAGACGCTACTTTCTTACGCTAGACACTACTTTCTTACAATAGACACTACTTTCTCAGACTAGACGCTACTTTCTTACACTAGACACTACTTTCTTACAATAGACACTACTTTCTTAGACTAGACGCTACTTTCTTACAATAGACACTACTTTCTTAGATTAGACACTACTTTCTTAGACTAGACGCTACTTTCTTAGACTAGACACTGCTTTCTTGCAATAGACATTACTTTCTTAGACTGCACACTACTTTCTTACAATAGACACTACTTTCTTACAATAGACATTATTTTCTTACAATAGACAATACTTTCTTAGACTAGACACTACTTTCTTACAATAGACACTGCTTTCTTAGACTAGACACTACTTTCTTACAATAGACATTACTTTCTTAGACTACACACTACTTTCTTACACTAGACATTACTTTCTTACACTAGACATTACTTTCTTAGACTAGACACTACTTTCTTAGACTAGACGCTACTTTCTTAAACTAGACACTACTTTCTTAGACTAGACATTACTTTCTTAGACTACACACTACTTTCTTACACTAGACATTATTTTCTTAGAGTACACACTACTTTCTTAGACTAGACACTACTTTCTTAAACTAGACACTACTTCCTTAGACTAGACATTATTTTCTTAGACTACACACTACTTTCTTAAACTAGACACTACTTTCTTAAACTAGACACTACTTTCTTAAACTAGACACTACTTTCTTAAGCTAGACACTACTTTCTTAAACTAGACACTACTTTCTTAAGCTAGACACTACTTTCTTAAACTAGGCATTACTTTCTTAAACTAGACATTACTTTTTTAGACTAGACACTACTTTCTTATACTAGACATTACTTATACTAGACACTACTTTCTTAGACTAGACATTACTTATACTAGACACTACTTTCTTAGACTAGACACTACTTTCTTAGACTAGACACTACTTTCTTACAATAGACATTACTTTCTTAGACTAGACACTACTTTCTTTGACTAGACACTACTTACTTACAATAGACACTACTTTCTTAGACTAGACATTACTTTCTTACAATAGACATTACTTTCTTAGACTAGACACTACTTTCTTACAATAGACACTACTTTCTTAGACTGGGCACTACTTTCTTACAACAGACTCTACTTTCTTAGACTAGACACTACTTTCTTACAACAGACACTACTTTCTTTGACTAGACACTACTTACTTACAATAGACACTACTTTCTTAGACTGGGCACTACTTTCTTACAACAGACACTACTTTCTTAGACTAGACACTACTTTCTTACAATAGACACTACTTTCTTAGACTGGGCACTACTTTCTTACAACAGACACTACTTTCTTAGACTAGAACTACTTTCTTACAATAGACACTACTTTCTTGACTAGACACTACTTTCTTACAATAGACACTACTTTCTTACAATAGAGACTACTTTCTTACAATAGACATTACTTTCTTAGATTAGACACTACTTTCTTACAATAGACATAACTTTCTTAGACTAGACACTACTTTCTTAGACTAGACACTACTTACTTACAACAGACACTACTTTCTTACAATAGACACTACTTTCTTACAATAGACATTACTTTCTTAGACTAGACACTACTACTTCAACAGACACTACTTTCTTACAATAGACACTACTTTCTTACAATAGACACTACTTTCTTACAATAGACATTACTTTCTTAGACTAGACACTACTTTCTTACAATAGACACTACTTTCTTACAATAGACATTACTTTCTTAGACTAGACACTACTTTCTTACAATAGACACTACTTAGACTAGACACTACTTTCTTACAACAGACATTACTTTCTTACACTACACACTACTTACATAGTAAGTGAGGAGACGTAAGCGTCTTTGGGAAGAATGAGGGTGAGGGTGAGGTGGTGTGGGTGTGGACGTTGGTTGTTGAGGGTGGCTAGCAGGTGGGTAGAAGCGTAGCGGTGATCCACCACTGACCTCACCAACAAACGGGTCAGCTGACCCACCGAGCACTCAACCTGCAGCAACCAGACAAGGCTTAGAAAACATCAACCAATGTTATGTATTTGAAGCAATGTAATTTATATATTGAGAGACGTTATATAAGGAGCTCACTCTAAACCTTTAAGGGATTAGATTAGATTTTGCCACCGAAGTTGCTAGTTTATTGTGCACCCCATATCCATCCTGTGGACGGTAGCGCGAGAGCATATGAATACACAAAAGGCCTAGGAACTAGGCCCGAAAGGGTTAACAGGAATACATATGGATTTATATCTACATATCTATAGTTCACTTATCTGTTACAAGCAAATTTAGGAAATTTGCTTAGTATATCTGGTATCTTATTTTCATTAATAAGATATCTTGACATGTCACATAGGTTATTATACTGTCTGTCTCTGTATTCCTCAATAAGTGGACAATTAAGCACATAGTGTTCAAGACAGTGACCATATGCCTGATCACATAATTTACATTTAGTTTGATCATCATCTGTGTCTCTCCCAAACTGCCAGAAGTACTTGTAACCAAGCCTAAGCCTGGCCACTACAATTCAAGGGACACGTCATTTTCCCTGTCTTCTAATAATATGTTACTCTTCCCCTATAATCTACCTTGTCCATAATTATTATCGCATTTGCTTTGTCTGCTTTCGTAAGGTGAGGTCTAGGACCTTTCCTTAATTATAACTTAACAAATCTTTGAGGACAATTGTTGTGTAAAGGTCTGAGCTTTGCTACAGACCTCTACAGGAACTCTGTCAAGCGTAACGGCTTGACAGAGTTCCTGGAGAGCGAAACGTTGCCACAATAAAATGTCACATTAGATGCACTTGTGTCCTTTTACTTAGCATATTGTCGATAATTCTACCAACGTCAATACATGTCTCTAATGTGTTCCATATCTAGAAGAACTCCTCTGGGTGTTCATCTTACATCTAAGACTCGTTACCCTTGTCACTTTTATGGTGAAGAGTTGCTAGCCACCTTACTCAGTACATTTTACAAGTCGTAATCATGTCACTTCCGCGTTCTTCTGGAAACATGAAGCCAGGTTTATGTGCTGTAAGTTGTTTTCGTTCCTCCACGTACCAGCATTGTGACGAAGCTCTTCTTTTTCTAGATATTTATATTTTGCTGTGTAATCAAATCAAATCAAAGTTTATTCCTTATGAGGATTACAATGCGGGGTTTACAGATTTTGGTTATTGTGAGGTTTACATGTAATAAAATACTAATTACAGAGGGGGCCACTAGAACACCTAGCATGGCTAGGCATTTCGAGCAAACTTAGATTAAGGGCTCCATGCAGCAGCAGCAGCAGCAACAACGGCCTTGAGGATTCGTACATATGTAGTGAATATTGCTTGAAACTTTTTTCTTGTTTGTCTGAAGGTCATTCTTAGGTTTGTTAACCTGGTGTATGTTACTAATGTTATTCTCTTTATGTTCACTTTGAGAGAAAGATGTTAGGTGCGAAGTGTACCTCCAGATCTGTCAGTTGTTCTTCAGCTAGATGGCAAATCTCTCTGGCCTCATCTCCCGCTCATTACTTTTCATTGCCTTTCCCTGGGTTGAATTCTAGTGAACGCTTTTTATCCACGAGGATCAGTATAATACCCATGAGGATCAATATAACCCATTTGGAGATCAGTGTAGTAAACATGAGGATCAGTATAACACCCATGAGGATCAGTATAACAGCCATGAAGATCAATATAACACCTATGAGGATCAATGTAACCCTATCAGGATCAATGTAACCCTATCAGGATCAAGAAAAACCCATGAGGATCAGTATAACACCCATGAGGGCCCTGCCAGCCTCTTCAGCTGCAGGCCACTCCGGACCTGGTGGTCACAAGACCGTAATTCCACCTTTAAATCCCCCCCCCCAAAAAAAAATGTTTCCAAACATTTTTTTCGACTAATTCTTCAGTTCTCGCGCATGTCCCCAATTTTTTTAATTAGCGAGATTGCCGGCTACGCGAGGCCTGGCCACACTGTTGTTGTCTTGCGCGAGGTTGGCGTAGGTGACTGTGTGTGAAGGTGAGCATGGTGCGTCAGGTCCCTTGGGCTGCCAGCCGAGAGTGAAATTTGTTCACACTGTATGCAGGTGACGCTCACAAAGGGTGTTTGTGAGTTCTTGTGAGCTCTTGTCACCTAGTCTTTTGTGAGCGCTTGTTAAGCGCCAAATTTATGATCGTAGGATAATTATTTAAGGTGGAAGAAATTTGATGTCAGCATAGTTGTACGTGAACTGTTGTTAATATCAAGGAAGGCTGTGTGTGTGTGTGTGTGTGTGTGTTGGTGTGTTGTGTGTGTGTGTGTGTGTGTGTGTGTGTGTGTGTACTCACCTAATTGTACTCACCTAATTGTGGTTGCAGGGGTCGAGACTCAGCTCCTGGCCCCGCCTCTTCACTGATCGCTACTAGGTCCTCTCTCTCTCTGCTTCCTGAGCTGTATCATACCTCTTCTTAAAACTATGTATGGTTCCTGCCTCCACTACTTCACTTGCTAGGCTATTCCACTTCCTGACAACTCTATGACTAAAGAAATACTTCCTAACGTCCCTGTGACTCGTCTGAGTCTTCAGCTTCCAGTTGTGACCACTTGTCCCTGTGTCCCCTCTCTGGAACATCGTATCTCTGTCCACCTTGTCTATTCCCCGCAGTATCTTGTATGTCGTTATCATGTCTCCCCTGACCCTTCTGTCCTCCAGTGTCGTCAGTCCGATCTCCCTCAACCTTTCCTCGTACGACATTCCCCTGAGCTCTGGGACTAGCCTTGTTGCAAACCTTTGTACTTTCTCTAACTTCTTGACGTGCTTGACCAGGTGTGGGTTCCAGACTGGTGCTGCATACTCCAGTATGGGCCTGACATACACAGTGTACAGTGTCTTGAACGATTCCTTATTAAGGTATCGGAACACTATTCTCAGGTTTGCCAGGCGCCCGTATGCTGCAGCAGTTATTTGGTTAATGTGTGCCTCTGGTGATGTGGTCGGTGTTATGGTCACCCCAAGGTCTTTCTCCCTGAGTGAGGTCTGTAGTCTTTGTCCACCTAGCCTATACTCTGTCTGCGGTCTTCTTTGCCCCTCCCCAATCTTCATGACTTTGCATTTGGCTGGATTGAATTCGGGAAGCCAGTTACTGGACCACATGTCCAGCCTGTCCAGGTCTCTTTGCAGTCCTGCCTCATCCTCATCCGATTTAATTCTTCTCATCAACTTCACATCATCTGCAAATAGGGACACTCATGTCGTTCACATATATCAAAAATAGCACTGGTCCTAGAACTGACCCCTGTGGGACCCCACTCGTCACAGGCGCCCACTGTGATACCTCTTCATGTACCATGACTCGTTGCTGCCTCCCTGTCAGGTATTCCCTGATCCATTGCAGGGCCCTCCCTGTTACATGCGCCTGATCCTCCAGCTTCTGCACTAATCTCTTGTGGGGAACTGGGTCAAAGGCCTTCCTGCAGTCTAGGAAAATGCAATCTACCCACCCCTCTCTCGTGTCTTACTTCTGTTACCTTGTCATAAAACTCCAGGAGGTTTGTGTGTGGTGTGTGTGTGTGTGTGTGTGTGTGGTGTGTGTGTGTGTGTCAGCATAGTTGTTGATCCCTGTGTTGTATAGCATATTAGTATCATCCATGTGCTTTAGATAGGAGATCCCTTTTAGGCCTGTGACTCTGTGATGTCACGGGATGCGCATGTGTATGGTTGTACCTCTGCCTCCCTCTCAGTCGGCGTAGACATCCAGGCTAAGACAGACAGAGGCTGGGCTCCATTTCTCTCATCACAGTCTGACAGTATATATCGTTACCATCCAACAAGTGTGTCTACCTTCAACCCTCGATATCTCCATTTAAGAACCCCTACGATAAATGGTGCCAGCGGTGTGGGCGTAAAATTGATAATTATGCTGATGTACGGAGATTTCTTTCGACAGAGCCTGCCATCTTGTGAGTAGGCCTACCGAGGTTAACGCCAGCCAGCTACTCTCTCAAGCTCCTACCAGCTTCTACACCATTCACTGGTCAGTCTCTTTGTATTAGTGTTTATCTGCTTATTTGCATCACTCCCGAGGGGTTCACCCGAGTTTGCAAAATAAGCCAGCTTCCAGTCTGTGGTGAGGGAGCTCAGTCGAGCCTAGTCTACTCCATCCAATTCTGTTGCCTGCCAAGCCAGCTTCCACCCCTGCTGTGCTCATCATGTGAAGTTATCAAGCTATTCTGTGTGAAGGGTTAAGATAAGCCAGCTAGCAACTAACCCAGGTGTCTTACCCCAGTACTCAAGCAAGCCATGTTAGTAGTCTTCATCGCTTGTGATTCAAGCTCCAAGCCATCCTGAGTGCTCTTTTTCATCCTTGTGGTGTTGTGGTATTTTGTGGGTGTATTTTAAGCTAGCCAGCTTAGAATATCTTCGCGGCAGTGTGGCTATTCTCAGTGAGGCTTACGCCGTTCAACCCATAGGCCCAACCACCCATGACCACGTGTGCCTCACCACGCGGTCTCAGACGCCTTAGCCCTGTTATGCCCACAAACCCAACCACTCTCACTGTTGTGGTACTCACCCAACCTCCACCAGTGTTTTGGCACACTACTAAGGGTTGTAGCACCATATTTTAAGGAGCACATAGGGGGTCAAGAGCTAGAGTGTGTTTCGCGCCACCGTTAAAAGCCTCCTGTGTGAGTTCATCATCGATGTAAGCGCAATTCTATGATCACGTGTGCAGAGGACAGCAGCAAGACGACATAAACAATCCTCAACTCTCCACTACCATCTACCTCATTCTACACCAAGTCGTTACAGCGATAATTTTTTTTTTCATAAAGACATTTGCGAGTGTTCAGACATTTCTTTTTGTGTTTCCAGTGATTTTCTTAGTGACATTCAGTGACTCTCGATCAGACTCAGTGTTTGTTTTGCAATAATCTTTTAATCTCCTTAATTCAGTGTTAATTTCCATGCATTATCTTATGTCTGTTTTGTTGTGTGTCTTTTTATA